ATTTGGCCAATGATAGCAGTGTCATCAGCATATTTGTAGGTGGAGTTGTAGCTGTGTCTGGCCACACAATCTTGAGTGAACAAGGGAAACGGCAGGGAGCATGAAAGAAAGCTTCCCATTGCCCCTCACAGTCTGTGGTCGGGTAGTCAGGAAATCCAGAATCCAGCTGCATAGAGAGGTGCTGATGCCCAAGTCATTATGTTTTCTGACTAGGGTAAGTGGAACTGTAATCAAAGAATAGCATTCTGACATATGTGTCTTTATCATCTGAATGAGCGAAGGCAGTGTGAAGAGCCAGGGAAATAGCATCTAGCCTTATCAGTGGACTTGTTACACCGGTATGCAGACTGCTGGGGGTCTAAGCACTCAGTTATCATTGTGTTAATGTGCCTCATGACCAGCCTTTCAAATCATTTCCTTACGTACGCTGATGAACTTTTAAACACAGCCCAGTCCACAGATTCAAAGCAGTGTTGCAGTACTTCATTTGTCTTCTCCGTCCAGTGTTGTACTGTTCTTCTCTACACATTCTCCTGCTTCAGCTTCTGCTTGTAAGCCGGCAGGAGAAGCACCGACAGATGATCCGACTGTCCAAAGTGTAGGCGAGGGATAGAGCGGTAGGCGTCTTTGATAGCAGTATAGCAGTTATCAAGAGTATTCACACCCTTTGTTGGGCAGGAGGCATGCTGGTAATATTTCGGAAGAACTGACCTCAGGTTGGTCTCGTTAAAGTCCCTTACAGCATCAAGGTAAGCAGTTTCATAGTTGTTAATGGTGGCATATAATTCTCTGAGTGCTGCTTTCATGTCCTCTCCTGGGTGGAGTGTACATCGCAGACATAATAACACATGAAGATTCTCTTGGTAGATAGAAAGGACAATATTTTACAGTCGGATATTACAAGTCCAGAAAGCAAAATCGCTTCCGAATTTTCACGTCATACTTCTATAAGAAAGGAAGTTTAATTAACTTTGACATTTTCATTAAACATTGCCATCTAATAAAACATAATGTTTTGATTTTCTCATCAGTTATGCATTGTTGTGTGAAACACATGATCCCAAAAAGCCAAATAGCACTGTTCTTGAGGTACAAGTTTATAGAAAGTTCCAAAATGATTCCTTTATCTGTTAGGGTGTCCCGTTATATAAGTCAATTAATTCATCATCTTAACACTAATTATTCACAGACTGGGGCTTATTATTGGAGTGTGCAGTAGCTGTATGTCTTGAGTGAGCTTTTGTTCTTGTTTTGGTTTTCAGTACATTGCACAGCTCAGGTGAAAAACTGCCAAGGACAAAAATACCCATAAGGATATTAAGTGCAATAAAGAGTATCAAGAGAAATCTCAGTCAAGACATGGTTGTACATTGGCTCTAACACCAAAATTTCACAAGCTTGCGCTGATCGGGAATAATGTTTCCTGAATGACTCACTCTCTGCCTCTTATATATTTACCAGGGCGCTCTGCAGTTGTTCGTAATTTGTGATGCTTTTGAGCATGAAGCACTGTGCGTATTTCAGGATCTAGAGGAAACCTACTAGAGTCCTGGGTTTTCATATTTTTGCGCTCTGTGTCCAAGAAGGTGTCATGGAATGCCGGCCTAACATCTGCTCAAGGGCTAACTCAATTGTATTTAAGTCTTGTTCAGCTGGTCTGACCTCATCCTTATCTAATGTTTGTCTTGCATAAAAAATCAGTCCTTTGCCAGTCATTTAGATATTGGACAGAGAATTGAACAGCTTAGTCATCCTCAGAAAAATCTGAAAAGGATTTGGCACATCAGTTGACCCATTTTAAATTGTTGATAGAATCTAAGTAACACCTGAACAAAGAGTTTAGGATAGAGACTCCTCCTGGTCCTCTCTGTCAGTGTGTGACTGGTACTTAGTAGCCTAGATTTTTGGAATACCATGTAACAGGGTGCTTCTGGATTTATGCAGCGGGAATGCTATCGGATCTAGATTGTGTGTCCTACTCAGTGCCAATTCCCACGTTACTGTCACCTTTCACATGCAGTGTCTTTTGATTCTTCTATCTGTCCATTTTCTAACTTTTTCATCCAATTCAGGGCAGCTGGAGCCTTACCTGTCAAGCAACAGGAGCAAGGCAGGAACATGACACCAGTCCAGTCTGTTTGCAGACACACAGGCACGCTCACACACTCTCACCTGGGCCAGTTTTCACAGAAGCCAATTAACCAATTGGGAGCCAATTAGGAGAGTCAATTGGGAGAAAACTAGGCACCAGGAGGAAACCCACAAAAATATGAGGAAAACATACAAACTCCATACAGATAGCACCCCAGGAATTGTCCCCAGGGCCCCAGCACTGTAATGCATTAATGCTAACCAAAGCTCCACTCTGCCACCCCCTGGCAGATCTCACATAGGTGAAAACAATTGGTCTTGCAGGGGTGAGTGAAGGCTGAGACCCGTTTATTACACTCTGTAGCTCCAAGAACCATCTCAGTCTATACAGAAACAAATTTCAATTTCCAAATTCACTTCATTATTTTTTTATTTCTCTTTATTTTAGTTTTGCTGTGAGACATTTTTCTCCTTGCTGTGATCGGCATTTCTGTGTTAAATTGTGAAAACCTTTAAAAAAGTCCTTCCACCAACATCTGCACTTGCTTCCCTATTGCTCTCTCGACACTTCTCCTTCCTCCCACACTGTTAACCCTCCTCCTCACTGTTTTCACCCCTCTCCAACTACTCACTTAATTCCCGATCCTCTTTTCCTTCACCTCCTTCATCCTGTATCCAGTCGTCAATCTCTGGTCCTCGACCCTAAACCTCATTTACAACGGGCACATGAACATTTCCTTTTATCTTCAGCCCCTCTTGCCTGTTTCTCTTTATTCCCTTTCCTCGTCTTTCCTTCCCCAAGACCCTTGTTGGCTCCTCCTCTAATACTTGTCAACTATCTGTCCCTTCACAAGCTCTTGCTTGATTTTATTGAGCAACAAACATAAAATCTGCCTTTTCCGCTCAGTTCCTTGTACCCCTTTTCTCTTGGGTTTGTGAGATTTGAAACCTCAATGCATAAAGTCCTGAACCTGTACATTCTCCCATTGAGAATGAACATTTCTTCCCATTTCACCCTTTTCCTCGGTGCTCACAGTGCCTGAGTTTGCAGTGAGAGGCCATGCGTTTTGACTAGTAGTGGTTTCTATGGAAACAAAGATCCAAACCGGCCGTTAACTCTGGGGGTGAGGAGGCCGGCTATTCAGGCCAAAATTGCCAAAAACCTGTTTTTATCTGACTGACTTGTATTAGACCAGTCTAAGTGACCAGATTAAGATGACCTTGATGTTTAGACTAATGTAGTTTTGTGCCTCTGGCCCTAGGAATTAGTTCTCTCCAGACTGGACGACTGCAGCCATATCCTGCCAAGCTTGCCTGCTGCAGCAGTCTGACCTCTCCTGCTTACAGGCGTAATCTCTGTCTCGCCACCAGGGAGATGCATAATGTAACTGTAGATTTGCTTTCTTTCAGGTGGATCTTTTGATAATGATGATCTAGGCTATGTTGCCGGAGAAGGAGATTATAATCCTGATAAAGGCAAGAGTGGAGGCAGGAGTGGAGGTAGGATTATGTTGCAGTTTTGTTTTTTTACAAGAACAGGAAAAATGTTTCTGGAGATTCTTTGTAATTCTTGGAGTTATTATTTAGTTCTAACTCCATGTGGGATTTAGTTTGCCTTCTCCTTTGTGTCTTAGCTTCTCTGAATACTGTTTTGAGGTTTTTCGAGAGTTCTAGCCCCACAGCAAATCTTTGATTTTATCCATGAAAAAGGAGAGACACCATTGTTATCAAAAAAACAATTAACTCTTGGAAACTTTAAGCAATGACCTCAGCTGTTTCTTAGTGGTCTTTGGGAAACCAAAGTCATTTTATAAAAAAAAAACATTTGTAGTCAACCCACAGTTATAAAGTAGAGTGCCTGTAGCGTATAAGGATATTCCTATGCTGTTTATAAAGAGACCATTAAATTATTCACCAATAAAAAAGTTATGTATGATGTACTACAATTACCATCCATAGCATTCCAGAGTGGAGATAGGTGCTCTGACTTATTTTTTTTACCCACATCTGATATTTAATTCATGTTTCAGGCATTTGTATGAGAAAAGTAAATGGGGAGCTCCCTGTATATTTATATACACTAGAAACAGAGACTCTCTAAAACGTAATCAAAATGTGTCTATCTGGGTTCCCTCTCTGGGGGCCTGGACTGTGTGGGGGCACCCCATTCTCACAGGTGTCTAGAGCATGAACTGGGGCTCCTGGGGTTCAGGAGGTAATGCCAGATTTCAAAGCTGCTACCTCAAACCCACCAGATACTTTTTTTTTTAGTCCAACACCCCTGCCAGTAATCACCTACACAATCCTTTTGCCTAACCTAAATTCATGAGACAGACGTACAGGTAAAATCTGCAGAATTAACATTAGGCACAGATGTGGCAGGACACCTCTGGGAGGTGCTACTGTTGTATACTGATGAGTTTCAAAGCCATGGAGGTTAATTAGGTAACACTTTCTCCATGAGGGAGAGCCTTTATCATTAATATTTCATGTTACAGTTCAAGATTAATCGAACTTAGATGGCTTTTCCCCTTAACAGTATGAGACAAGTTTTTTACAGTATCTTGTAGTTGATTTTGAATGACATATATGTGTTTTCTTTTAACAGGGAGAGCTGAGGGTGACACTCAAGGTAAATACTGGATATTTTATTTTTCATTTGAACAGTGTGTCAATATGATTTAAATTATGAAAATTGTTCCAGAATACTTAGGTTTATGTGTATATTTACTCACATATTCAGTTGTATTTGAGATTTATGTATCTTTGGTAGTTATTTATTTCCTTATTGTTGGCATTTATTTACAAACCAAAAACTGAATTTTCATTATTTTGTTTTTCAGGAGGATCTGATCAACCTCAAGGTAAATAACTAATATAATTACAAAGTTTCCTTTTTATTATAGTATAGTGTCCTTTTTGTGACTTCCATAAAGAAATTCTTCAACATGGCCTCAGACTATAAAAATGCAGCTTGTAGTCAGTCTTTCTTTGAAACATGCTCAAACAGACCAAAACATCTTGTCTTTTATTTTAATTGTGTTCAATCTTAAATCTGTCATATGGTTTTGTGCTGCTTCTTCACAGTTTTGAAAATCTATTTTTTTATGTTTTTGGCATATCCCTATATGTGTTTGATTTTCCTACCTTTCACGTATATCTTCTTTCGGGGTGGGGATTATTTTGCATTTTACTTTTAAAATAAGTATTTTCTATGATCGTGCTTACAGACTCTGTACTCAAACTTCTAGAACAGACTTAAATTTCCCCTTCGTTGACTTGTCTTCTTTGTGGAATGATTAATGAAATTAGTCATTTTTGTTATGATTTATTTAATTATGTTTTGAAGAACTTTGGGCAATTTCACTTTGGTTGCCAGGGTGGTTGTTTTGTTGTTATGGTAACCAGGTACTGGGTTCACAAAACCAGTGACTGCTACTTGTTCTTGTTGTTCTGACTTTAGTAGTAGTGCAGTACTACAATTTGTCATGTTTGTGGGGTGTGCTAGGAAATCTCCCAACAGATTTAAAAAATAAACTGGATATCAGTACAGGGACAGTTAAAGACTTAGAATAATGGGGAGCAGTATTACTAACTTCCTATTTGGTTTTTGTCGTTTTTACGTGAAATGTGTTTCCTGATTGAAAGGAAGTAAAAACTTTGACTGAAACCCTACATTTTAAGGGATTTAATTATCACACAAGCAAGGAACATGTATCCGGCTGTTTCTGTTCTTTTTGGTTGGGTTTAACTTGACACATGACAGTGTCAAGAAAAAAAAACTTGTCCGTGATACAGAACACAGTGATAGTACCCTTATCAGTGACTCTCATATGTTAGTGCATGTTCCAGCAGTAGCTTTATCACATTGAAAGCAGGAACAGTTTGTTTTCATTAGTACTGGAAAAAAGTAAAGGTTTATAATCTAGCCACTCTTCTCTTGAATTCTTTTTAGTAAAATTCTACTTGTTTTATAACCCCTTACAAAACATTTATTTTATAAAAAATGTGGTCAAATCATGATTGCTTGAAATGACTTTTTAAAGTATAAAAATAATAAATAATAATTAAACCACATTTAGTGAATGCCTATTTAATCTGTAAATCACTAGGTTAGATTTACAGTAAGTCTTTTTCCTACTTAAGAATATACAGGAAATTGGAAATTACAAATTGGACATTAATTAAAAACCTGAATATTTTTTTCTAATTTTTATTTTATTACAATATTTCCTTCCTCTAAATCATACATTAACATTTTGGGATATTTGGGGAGACCTGTCTTTACTAGAACAAATGTATGGTTAGATTACATCCTTCACAAGATAACTTTTACCTAAAAGTTTTTTAATACCGATATCAGGGTTAACTGTAAAGCAATATAATGTTGGGTTTTAGCACTACAGTAAATCAGCTGTATTTTAATGTACTATAGTGCCCTTCACAGTGCTTTACCACAGAGTACATAATAAAAATAATGTAGTTCTGTCTTAATATTTGAAATAGTTCTCAAGGGTATTCATGATTCAGTCAGAGCTGTTCAAGCCCAGATTAAATTTGTCTTCTGGGGAAGATTGTAGTAATAGTGCCCCCTAGAGACAGTGTGGCTGTATTTGTTTGCATTCTGAAGTTTGTCCAAGTACTAAATCTTTGGTTCCCAACCCTTTTTCTGAAGAAACAACAATAATGATTGTAGTTCATTGGCATGTGATTGGTTTAAACATACAGTATTGCTTCATTCCTTGTTTATTACTGCAATATCAAGGATGTCATACAAGCATTATATAAACAAAGTCAGTGCAGCATGTGTAGTACTGTACCATTGGTGAGAAATGCCTTTAAAAGAACTTTGTCAGTTACTCACATCTAAAACTTTGCTCCACTTATGTTTTATTACAGATTTAGAACATCAGTGGAGACAGCTTCTGAAGTTACTAAATGATAACATGCCCGAGAGCGTCAGAATTTGGATAACCAATTTAAAACAAGTAGTTGTGCCACTGTTTGAACGTGTCATGGAGATCCTCGATATGAAGGAATGATTTAACAAGCTTTCTGGGGGCTGCCACTAATTGTACATTTCTGTTGATTAGTGCGAGGCTTGCCTCAGTTGTCAGTTTATGTGGGATCTTTTATATCGGGGGATCCCAATCCTGGTTACGGAGGCCCACACTCCTGGTGCTTTTCATTCCGTCTAAATTTAATTACTTAATTGAAGCCTTAATTGAACTAACATGTTGCTTGATAGCACAGTTCCAAGTTTATTTTTCTACTCAAAAAGGGGGTTTCTCTTTTACTTATAAAATGCAATAGTTAAAAGACAAACTCCAGCATGTTAAAGAGATGACAAAAATCAAACAGTTCAAATGAATTGTGTTATTTAACTGAATTGAGGTTTCAATTGTGCGATGGGGAGCTCAACTGGAACAAAAGCTAGTAGGTTTGTGGGCCCCTGGGACAAGTGTTGGGGACACCTGACCCGTATGGCTTCTACAGTAGAGGTGTTGGGTCTGTTTTTACTGCTTAATGTTTTTAAAATGGTTTTTGCAGCAGGATTGTATTCATGTAGTCCTTTGGCCTTTTCTGAATATTGAACTCAAATGGTAAATTAAAGTGTATTGTGACTTTCAGCTTCAGTGCCCAGTAATCTAATTTTTCAAGAGTGACTCACATTATGTACTGTATATTTCTGTCAAAAATGTTACCATCTGGTTCTGCCTTACTCTTGAGAATAAGTATCAATTGAACATTTAAGCATTCTTTGTACAGGTATTGGTTGTTTATTGCTTTGGGCATAAGGTTCAGAGGTGGAAGATTGTGTGCCTTCTTTGACACCTTTGATAATACTGTAACTGGGTGTATTTCTGTTTTTTGAGATGAGGGCTGATATTCACTCCCTGGCATTCTTTTACTGATTGTTACAGGGACAAAATCCAAATCAAACTGAAAGATGGTGTCATCACATCATGTCACTTCAAAAAAATAGAAGACTTTTTAGGGGATGGTAGGCAGTGGGGGGGATGATTAAAAGCTTCGTGCAGGACAAGACTTGCGAAGGGATTCGGATTTTCAGCCGTCTGATTGGCAGGTTGTGCAGCTAGTTTATTGTTTTCATTAAGCCTTCGTGGGAAGGGCTAACTGCAGATTGGGAGATTGCAAAAACATTTCGATGTGGTAAGAGCAGTTACTATTACTATCATTCTTGATTTCCTGAGGTCTTTGATCTCGAAATAGCTTAATCCTAATGCCTCCTCCTTCTGAAAACTCCTGGCGTTCTCAAATTCAAGAAATCCTTCTCAATAAAGGCACTTCATTCAAACCTAAAAACAACTTGAAATCTATAAATGTTACAAATAGAGCTAGAGTTAATGATAAATATCCAAAACTGTACTATATAAACATGGTCAGAGTGGATTCCCTTTGAAGAATGTGTTTTACATCGTATTTTACACAGTTTACTTGAAAATATGTAGGTATGGCATCCCAAATGTTATAACATTCATTTAAGTGTAATAAATTTATCTTTTGTGACTTTAAACATGCTGCATCTTGAATCAGTGAATGAGAATTCTTAATGGCCTCCTACCAGTATGAATGAGTAATCAATAAATGTAGAAGGTTTCATTGTCAAATATAGTTTAACAAAATATTGTACTTAATGAAATGTTGTTGGAGATGGAGGTTATCAATACTTAGTTTTAAATGTCTTTTTTTCTGGTTGATGTTTTTGTTTTTTTAAGTTGCCTTGTGTCTTGAAAGCAGGATTATTTTTTAATAGTCCTCATGCACATTGTACTTTGGTTTTTAAATGAAGCTCTTAGTTCTGTAATGATAAGAAGAATGCATATTGTGTTTCATGTAGGGTTTTTTTTTGTGTGTGTTTAATCAAATCAAGTAAAAAAATAGTTACAATTATGCATGTACAGAAAACTGAAACCAGCTGTTCAACTTTTACTCAAACTTTTAACTGAAACCCAAAGCTTTTTTTAAGATTAAGTAGTCATCCCACTTGCACAATAACACTGCAACATGTACTTTATATAGTAGAGGGTGCATGTTCTTTGTACTGTATATTATGAATCTTGCTTAGCCCTTCTAGAATGTAAAGTGTCGGTGTGAAAGAGGCCCAGCAGGTTTCAGACTTGATAGAATCCCCCAGGGCAAGTCATAACCCAACATCTGTGCCAATTGTGTTCACATTACTTGTGTCCTTCTGGAGTCTCTGTACTGCAGTATGACACTCAGAAGCAGGTTCATTCTAAGGTATTTAGGTTGCGGACTTTTTGAGGAATTTCTTTTTTGTTTCTTTGGTTCTATACACTCAGATATTTGCTGTGAACAGCATTTGATTTTTTAACAGCATAATAAATTCTTTTACCTCAAGAAGTGTGTGTATTTTTTTGACAAAAATGAAGTGTAGCTTTTATGTATTAAAATCTGAAAAAATATGTAATCTTCATACAGCCAATACTTTATTATATGATATAACACAATACTTGGCAATTCAAATGTATAAAATCTATGTTTCTTGCATGGTTGTAGGTAAATGTTCCTCATACACAAAAATGCAGTCTGTCAGTCATTCTTTCTGTTTCTTAGGTGCCCACAGATCATTTATTTTTTCAGTGCTGATGTGATTTTATAGAAGGTGCATAAATGCTATATGGCACACTTCTACTGCACTATCATAGATTTCAGACAAAGAACCCATATTGTCATGAATGATGAGATTATTTAAAAATTGGGTTGATAAAGCCCCAGCTTAGTATTGTGCCAAACTCATTACCACATAAGTACATTATCTATATTGTTTTTTACTAACAGTGACAACTGTGTGTATACTACACATAAATATATAATAAAAATGCTAGTGTAACATACATGTGTCATACTAAATATACTCTACTAATAGTATTCTTGTGAAGAAAACTCCATTTCCTTTTTCTGTCACATAGGCTATAACATTTGTCAAGTCGTCATTACTGGTTCATATTTTGTTGATGTTAAGTGTCTATAGGTATAAAATGTATTTAACGTTCTTTTAGCTTTGCTTAAAATGCAGAGGATTTCTGGAGAATTTATTGTAATATGAACAGAAATGGATAAATACTGCCCTCTGCTGGATGAGGAATTGAAGTGTCTTGTAATGAATGTCTTACAAACTGAATCTTCACGACAAACTTCTGCAAAATAATATCCATTTACATTGTTATGGTTATGCCAAATCCTTTTTCAAACGTTACACACAAGCTTCAGAAGTGCAACGAATTGTAAAAATAACTTTAGGTACTCACGATGATCAGTCAGAGGAAGGAAGTTTTAATTTATGTGCTTTCATATTGCGCAACATTGTGAGAAGCACTTTCAATCTATTTATGGTTAAAAGATATACATTTATTTATTCCTTTTAGTTGATTTAATGATTAACAGCTGAGAACAAATTAACAAAAGGTTTATATTATGTTTTCTTTTCTCTATCCCCTATTCCCACAGCAGAAGGATCTGGTAAAATCGCTGGTATTGTGAGTGCTGTGGGAGTGGCGTTGCTTGGGGCTGCATCGAGCTACTTTGCTTACCAAAAGAAGAAGCTGTGCTTCAAAATCTCAGGTGGTGAGTACAAATGCTATAATTGTATGGATGTTCGACAGTAGAGCTTGCTAATATTAATCAGGGGAATGATTAATCATTGCTTCATAAAATTAGAGGTACCATCACAGACTCTTCTTTCAGGGAATGAAATGTCTTCCTGTAAGCTGGTTGATTTAGAGCAAAGAAAACTCAAGTCTGTTTTGCACTAAAATGTTTTCATATAATTTATATAATTTCATATAAAACATCATTTATTTTTAATACTATTATACAGTATACCTGTGTTTACACAGGTACAACAGATATGACCAAAATATCGATGTCCTGGTACATGGACACCTATTGTAATTAATTATATACTTTTGATTTACTTCTAAAATAATTCACTTTAGCTGTCAGAATTTTTAAGGGGAAAGTCCCTTCCTAAAATGGACATCTCTGATTTGAATATTTGAAAATACTGGGGTTTTAAAAAATGTGATTAATAACTCGAGTCCAGAAAAAATATGTCTTAAACCCCAACAGTGAAATTAGGATTGCAAACAAGAAGAGGCTATTCAGACTTTCTTACTCATTTAGATTCTCATTGATCTGCATATCTTATTCAGCCATTTACTGAATGATCCTAGAGAATTTGCTTTAGCGACATGGTTGGGTAGTTTGTCCTAGACAAACACGCAAACCTAACCTAAATAAATGACACAATGTGTGCCTATCATTCTGGATGCACATCACAATTGTCCTTGTTTAAAGAACCAATCCTCATCACAGAGTCGGACCTTGTGACCTTCATTACACACAATCAATAATTATACAGCTGTTGAGAAACATATACAAGCTCCATAAAAAAAAGACAATAGATGGCAAAAATCCCTTCTGTGGACATAACATGCTGGAGTTTGTAAAATGTGCATAACTCAAAACTATTTGAGAAAGAATGCAGACTTGCAGAATGCCAACAAGTTCACATTTGAAGATGCACTTGGCCCTTTTTAAGGAGAGCAAGTGTGTTACGTCTCCAAACAGACATGCTCATGTTTCTTTTACTATATTTTCAAACTGCCTTCCAGAATGCAGTTTTTTCTCATTCATACTAATCATATTCAACTTACAGGGGATCCTGACAAGTAATGGTATTTCATAATAGATTAATAGTTATATAGGAACCCTTGGTTACTTACCTGCCTATCTTAATTCAGAAGTATGCTTATACCTGGTTATCGCCCTATAGCCTGGAGGCTGTTGTCAGTTATTTCTTTTAAGATGTTCAAAACAATGCAAAGTAAGATGCGGTTTTGTCACAGGTGATCCAGAAAGTGGAAACAAGACCCAGTCTGGGACCCAATCAGAACCTCAAAGTGAGTATTGGGGACTTTTCCATTTTTCTGGAAAGAAAGAGGCATAAAGTGTTCAAACCAGTAGTGTGATCTTTGAATCATTGCATTGAAACTAATTTGACCAAATCATATTACTCTGAAATGGGTGCTTTGTAAAATGCCAGTATTGCCCATTATTTTATTAGAATTCTGATTTTTCTCTTTTTTTTACTCCCTCAAACTGCAGTTCTCAGCAACCTGCTAAGGTCATCATAATGCCTTCAGCCAAGTCTCTACTTTGAGGATCAGCGTATCCCAACACCATTTTCCTCGCTTCTACAAAAGTATGTCTGTGTTTATAACTCGAGTAGGATAAACACTTACGTTTCAGCTATTGATGATGAAACTTATTTGAAACAGTAAAGTGGGTTTATAAATATTATTTTGTAAAAGGCTTCACGTTCACATTTTGCTGACTCATATTCTGCTTTACTTGTTCTGTAGACAACTAGAAAAATGCACTATCCTCTCCACTGAACAAAACCTTTTTACATACTGTGTGGTAAAGTACATTTGGAATGAAATAGAAGTAATTTTAAGGCTTTTAGAGTTTGATGTTGTACACGATAATATTACCCTCCCAAGTTATTTCCATAGAAAATTTCCTATGGGAATACACAAACCAGGTCTGGTTATAGAACAGTCTCATTTTCAGATGTAGTCATTATTGTTTTTAGGACAAAACAATAACCCTTTATTTGTATGAATTAAAGTATTAAAGACATTCTTACTGCCTTTGTCTTGCAATCTAATTTTAGATTAAAAATGGGTGACATATCTATAATTTATTATGAATCTCATTTGTTTGGTTGCGAGCAAATGCTTTCATTATTTCCAGTGCTGCTTATGAAATAGTTCTGAAGCATTTGTCTCAGCGAGGTATTAGTTTAGCAGGTTATAAAACAGTAGAACCCTGTATAGGTAGATTCATTTGAATGTGTCTTCATAGGCCACCGAGTAAACCTAATTCAAAACAGCCTTTTCTATACTTGGTGATCTTGAATACAGTGTACTTGAGTCCTAAAACATGTTTGTGATCCACACGCCTGTTTGAAGGGCCCTTTTTGTATTATATAGCATGGTGCATTATGTCATACATTACAAAATTCCTTTGGTTTCGGAGCTGATCTGTTTTCACCTTGTGAAAGTTAAGGAGCTGGCGGTATGACCAGTCTGCACAAGGAGAAATAGTAAGTGTATGTGATTATATATAACAGCTAGAAAAAAGTCTGGAAGAATTAACTGCAGGACTCACACAGCTTACTCTCTGACCAAGAGCACACAGTATTAAAATGCTAAAAGAGCAACATCGTATTCTTGAAACATCAAGAACCTGTACACTAACCCCTTCAGTTCAAGTTCCCAGACTCCATGGCACATGACTGGAGAACAGGAGGTCTCAAATCTAGTCATCTTCAGGGGAAATAAAACTTTTATTTTATAGCCTGTTCATCATTCGATTTTTAGTTGTGATGCTTGTCTTAAACCATTGTTTTCTTGTTTTGAATATTGACAGCATGTAGAATTTGATACAGTACATGTGCACTTTAATCACAATCACCAAAAACTTTAAAATCCAACAGGAATAAAACATAAGTAAAAAGTGTTTGGTTGATTTCTATCCCTGTAACATCTTTGAAGGGTTTGTTAAAAGGGAAAGTGATTTTTAAAATTTATTGGAATAGTTTGTACTCTTTATGAATCCACTAATCCTTCTTGTGTTTCTGCATTGTTTGGAGTGTTTTTGAGTGCGTGTGTGTACCTTTCTTATTTAAAGACGATGTACTTGTATTCCTGAATGGTAAATGTAAAATGAAGTTCAATGAGTAAACTTCATATGGATGAAATTCACAAACTGAACACAAAGGAGATGGTTTAATTTGGAAGATATTTTTAACACAGAGAGAAACCATGAGCTTTATTGTGTGTTAGAATGAAAGCTGCCACCTAGGACTTAAAATAGAACTGGAATTGTTCACACAGCATTTATTTTAAAAACTACTTTTTATTAATAGTTATCTGCGGACAGAAAATTTCCTTTTTTGTAGCCTTATTTTTTTTTCACATGGAGTTTTGCCAGCAAAGAAAAATAGGGATTCACATCATATATTATTGAAGAGGCTAATAAAAATGTAAGAATGAGATTTTGCAAATTAAACACAAGATATCATAAAGAAGTTTACCTTTGGGAAGAACTGACATTTGCACACTGTTCTGAAAAGACTATAAGGTTTTATTTTCTCCTCTGCCCAAATACTTTACTTTCTTAATTTGCTGCTTTCCCAAATTACCTAAATACATTTGAAGCAATCCCAACTTTTTTTAACTGTTACACAAAGCAGTTTCACACCAATCTTCCCAAAGTAGACTGCAAAAATGTATAAACATAATACTCTGAAGTGATCTAGTATTAAAATTATTTTGGTTAACATTGACATTTAAAACAATTAGTTATTCTGCTCTCTCAAAAAAGTTGACTTTAATTCTCTCTGTATTACATTTGTTGCAGGTGTCTATAAAAGTGATTGTATTGTTCTTGTGTATCATTTAACGTGGTCTAAACTGAATAAAATGTGCCTTTTTTAATTGTGCTGGAGATGTCATTTCACATTGGAGAAGTGTTCATTATTTCATTACTTATTCAAACTAGAATGGAAGGGTTGCATAGTGGTGTTGAGATTATCAATGCTGCCTCGCAGCGCTGGGGACCTGGGTTCAATTCTGGACCCGGGGTGCTGTCTGTGTGGAGTTTGAATGGTCTCCCTGTGTTTGTGTGGGTTTCTTCCAAATGCTGTGGTTTCCTCGCTCACAGTCCAAGGGCACGCTAGTGGGTTAATTTACTTCTGGGATAACTGGCTCCTGGGTGAGTGCGTGTCTCTATGTTTGTATCTGTACACATACTGTATGTGCCCTGCGATGGACTGGCGCCCACTACTTGCAAGGTTAGTCTCCAGCTCCCTTGCAACCCTGAATGGGATAGAGTGTTTAAAAAATGGATGGATGGAAGGGTGGAAGTACCAAGAACATCCCAGAGGACAGGTACTAAGGACCAGAGACAAAAGGAAAACAAACCAAAAAACAAAACAAAGGACCAGGTAATAAAGTGCTTATACCTAAATTCTTGCAGCAAAAAAAAACAAATCACGTGAGAGAGAAGCTACTGCATTAGCAAGCAATTATGATGTTATTGGAATCACAGAAGCATGGCTAACCGACAATGATGGAGAGGAATGTGGCACTGGCGAAGACGCACTTTTCTGGAGAAACAGGAAAGAAAAGGGGGAGGTGTCACACTTGGTGACACAAGAGTATTCATGCGCAGGATCTGATGCCAGAGGAAATGAGTCTTAAATTTACATGGGTTAAGATGCACAATAAGCATTCTAACAGTATAGCACTCAATGCTGTAGACCACCAAATGCAGATGTTGATGGTAGAACAATTAGAATTTATGTGCTAAAGCAGTAGTAGTTTTACATGGGAGACTTCACCTTTCCCCATATAGACTGGAAATTAGTCTGTATTCTCAGACTTAAGGGAATATCCTAAACTGACAGGGTGAAGGAACTGAACTTTAGTAGTCTTGAAAAGAGAAGATTACTCGGGACCTGACACAAGAATCCAGAATCCTCTAAGGCACAAACAAACTCAACCCAGGAGACTTATTTAGAATGGACAGTGAAACATGAACCAGAGGACACAAGTGGGAACGTGGAAGAGAATATTAAACCGAGAACAGGGGGCACTTTGTTTCACAAAGTATTGTGGAAGTATGAAATAAACTATCCAGGCATGTTGTTGAAGCCAATAACCTGGCTTCTTTCAAAAACAACTTGAAGCAATCCTGGGTTCAGGTAGGTACTTAAGACCAAACAACCTAAATGAGACAAATGACCTGCTTTCATTTATAGCTTTTCTTATGTTCTTATATGAAGAATGAACTTACCCATACAGTTTGTCTCCTCTGAAACCAATGTGTGAACTTTCAAAACTTCAGCAGTGATATGAAAGATGTGTTATTCAATTAAAAATACAGATACACTTAACTATTTGTTATGATTTAGGCTTAATTCAAAATTCATGCAAAAATAATTTGGAACCTGACACCTACCTTTAAAACTAGAAAAGAATATCATTGGAAGTCTGGGTTATTCAGCTCTTATTTTTTCTTGTAACTTGTTAATGGAGTCCTTGATATCTAATGAGGACAATGTTTTTCAGTTTTTACTAGTTACTGGAGTCCTTGAAATCTAATGAGGACAATGTTTTTCAGTTTTTAATCGTTACTGGAGAAACAACCTGGAGTAATTATTTTGTCATTTTTAGTTACAGTAGGTGTAGGGAAATTAATTGAACTGGTATTGTAAATTTTAATTTTAAGGGCCAAATGGAGCCATTTTAAATGGTTCTAGGTAATAAACAACAGAGGACAGTGAATGGCTGATGAAATACTTTAAAATTATTTAGTGGAGGCACATTTTAAAACCTTTTTTAAACCAGGTTTGCATTTTCTCTGGAGTCTGGGCTAGAATTTATTTCATAAAACAGAAAATTTAGTTTATTTAAATTACAGTTCTAATATACAACTTGCCTCCCAGATGTTTCGTATTCATCGATTCTGTTTTAGTTACTTTGTGTTTTTATCTTCTTGTGCGTACAGCATCTAACAGGTGCTGGATCCTCAAGAGGCAAATTCAAGTTTCAGGCAAAATTAAATTTAATGTTTAACTGAGTCCCTAGATTCAAAACAGCTGTTATTTATGATAGATTTCTGTTGTACATTAATCCTTTAATCACTTAAAGCCTTGTAGTTTAGTTTAGTAGTTAGTTGTGTTTTCCTTTAAGCAAGCTATACATGTATGCCAGCAGGTTGGTAATGTTGCATGCTTGCAGTGTTCAGACATGCCCCTAGCCAGCAGCACCAGAGTCTCAAATGGGATTTTCTTTTTTGTGATGTGAAAGGTGTTTAGGAGCATACCTGGCACAAGACACAACCCTGACAAGTTTTAAAAGAAGTAGAAACAGAAGTACAATGTTAAATTTGAACTGTTGCACCAGGAACTTTCAACAGAATAGTTTCTTACAAACAGTTTTCCTAAAAGAGACACACTCTTTTAACTACATTTAGTGACTGACATTTATATATTGAGAGGATTATCTCTTAAAATTTACAATAACTGCCACACTGGACAAAATACCAATGCTAATAATAATAATAATAATAATAATAATAATAATAATAATAATAATACACTTTTATTTATAAAGCACCTTTTCAAACCAAAGGACACTGCACATCATGAATAAAGAAAAACACCAAAAAAGTACAATAAAAAGTAAAAGAAAAAATGAAACAAGAGCATACAGGTTTTTACACATTTAGACCTAGGTAAAAGTTGAGAGTTTGGGTTTAAAGAGAGTCCAAGAAATTGTCTCTTGCACAGTCAGAGGGAGGTCATTCTGTAACACTGGAGCAATGACAGAAAAAGCACGGTCACCAAGTGTTTGTGATTTAGTCCTGAATACAGTGAGTAGAGGTCCAGTCAGGAGGGAGTGTAAACCTGGAGGAGGTCAGAGATCTATGATGGATACAGATTGTTTTTAGAGCCTTGAAGATCAGTAACAAGATCTTACATTGAATACGTGACTTTATAGGTAACAAATGTAGAGACTTAAGTGTAGGAGTGATATGCTGCCAGGGTCTGGTGTGAGTACGTTTGGGACATATTGCAACTTGTTGAGAAGAGAGTTAGGGAGGCCATAGAGTAAAGAGTTTGAGAAATCAAGCCTTGCTGTTACAAACGCATGGATCAGGCACTTGCATCGGACAAAGATAAAAATTGCCTAATGCGGACAAAATTTCTAGAAAGATGACTACCAGATTCCTGACTATGGCTGACATATGAATTGGGAACCCATCAACCATTACTGTGAAGCCCTTGAGTTTTTCCAGCTGAGATTTGCTGCCCACCAGTAAAATATCTGTATTGTTACTTTTTAGCTTTAGGGAAATTGTTGTCAACAAGAGTTTGATGTCATGCAAGCAGGAGATAAGTGATGGCAACTCCAATTCAGAAATCTTCAGGAAATTTCCATGTACCCAGTACTTGATGTCCTGAAAGCACCAGAAAAGAAAAGACAGCTATTCTTTGAGGGAGTGTGAACAAGCTACTGTTCTTAGATCTGATGTTGAAGCCAATACCCAGGCTTTTTCAATCATTTTCAATATTGGAAAAACATTAAACAACAGGACGTGAATTCCCCCGTGAATTAAGAACATAAGTTACAAACACGTTTGGTCCATCCCGCACATTTAGTAGGTAAGAGCTACTTTCTCTAGCTGTTTCAGGAAAGAATCCAGGGTATTGGCTTCAACAACATGGCTGGATAGCTTGTTCCACACTCACACGCCTCTTGTCTTCTCTGTTTAGTACTAAAAACACAGAAAACGTTTGTTCTAGCCTGTTCGAGTAGTAAACCCCTTACGCTTTGGAATGTTTCTGGATGCTCATTTCTAGACTGATTCCAGATCAATAGTATCTTTTTGTAACATGGTGACCACAATATTATAAATGAGGTTTCCTTCTTTTTTAAGGTACTGTAACAAAACCATGTGCACGGGGTCCGGTAAGTCTGCAGGTTTTTCAGGGTCTCTTTCAATAATGCAGCAATACCTGAAGAGCTGTGAGAAGCTGTTAGGTTGGCCTGGTGAATCCAGTAACTGTCTTATCTTGTTAAGAGGTGATCAGAAATGAAAACCTATAGATCCGCCAGGACAGTACCAGGATTGGGATTACAGTGCCCTGGTGTATACTGAATGTTAGTTATATGATTGTTAACCCAGTAGCCTGCTATAAGTAGTGATGGAGGATCAGTAGGAGGTGATATTCTTATTGCTCTTGAACACCCAAACCAATGCCTCAGTGCACAGTACAGCAGGACACTGCACTGCTGAGGTGGCGTCCTTCAGATGACACGATAAACAAAGGTCATACATATTTAGTTATTTTAAACCCCGTGGCTCTGTTTAGAACAGCGAACGTTAACCGTGGTGCCCTGGCTAAATTCGTCTCTTGTACAGTCTGACATTTATGAATTCACTCCTTCATTTACTCAGTGAAGTAGTTTCTTACTATTTAGACAGCCATCGTGTGAAGCGGGGCTAGTGACGCACAATGACTGTTATGTGTTACCAAAGTGGGTACTACCCTTTAACAAAAGAAGAAAGCCCCTTCCTGTGGGAAACGCTGTTTCAATGTTAGGAATTAACTACTACCCGTATTGTTGAATACAGGTGCCATTTTACTTAGCTATGGAATATATAAAAACCAATGTTTATAGAAGGAACGCAACTTCAATAGAATAAACATTAAATTGCAAGTTAAAAAATACTTCTTTAGAGATGTATAAAAACATTCTTAAATTCGGTGCGGAATTTAACAATACAGTGAATTTTAAAAGAGACAGTTGCAGCGGTCCTTGTGTGACTAGAGTGCGGCGCACATCGTGCTTATGTACGGGACAGACGGTTGAGTGATCACACATGGGATTAACAAGGAGACAAATGCAGTGGCCAGTTAGTGCTGGGTGGACCCGATTTTGTGCAACAGCCTATAAGAGAGGTGGATGAAGAACTATGTCGGTGTTTACCTGCCAGCTCGTCTAACGTCAAAGGTTATAATGCAGACGCAAGGACAGCAAACTACGCTGTTCTAGCGTAATAGAAAATGAGAGCTGCTGGGATACCGTATGTAAAAACAAAATAATCATGTTTCCTAGTATCAGAGGGATTATCCGGTGCTTTACGGCGCGATTACTAATTTAGTATTTATCCCTGTACGTTTTACACTGCAGAATCCAAGCACCGCCGGTGTATTATTAAGTGCGCTCTGAAACTTAATTCAGAAACCACTAAATCACCCTCTAGCTGTTCATCGCCATACATTTTCGTTGTTGTAGTCGCCGGTTGGTAGAAAGCCGAAAGTACTGCTGCAAACTTCATAATCCAACGTCCTTTTTTTCTGATTATTGTTGGACATTTCGGGCCTCGCAGAACCGCCTTCTGCACCGTTAGTTCAGTATATTTTAGTTTGTGTTGCAACTGGGGAAATCTGAGCCTACGCAATTGTTACTATGCCAGGTAGGTGTTCTAAGTTTTCATTTTATATGTGATGCCTAGAAACAGTTATGTTCCTAGTTATGTTCCTATGCGACTATCTGCACGCTTCGTTGTGCATTACTATACTAGGTTTCATATTGCATTTGTGTGGTTAAAGGCTTCTTTAAAGGATATATATATTCTGCTACAGTATATATCGGATCCACCCCTATATATCAAAGGATGGCGTTATAACAGCTATAACCTTTAACAAGCAAAGACTGGGAGGTTTTGCGCATGTGCTTCAAGAGAATGCTGGTGGTGATAGTTATAATAATGAGCTACAAAGTACATTTTAAAAAAAAATAAATAAACTTCTTTACTTTGGATACATCACTTTCATCATGCACCTCTTTAACCGCTTGGTTAAACAACTTTTTAACCACGTGCGTTGTTTCTGATCTCGAAGATGACAGAAATCCGCACCTGCAGTGGTGCTCTGGGGCACACGGGGTCTTTTCTGGGCTGAATACAGTTCCTAATTCAGAAATGATCCAAAGTATAAATGTATCTTTGCTTGCACCTCTGCAACGAATCAAAAGTAATACTGCCAGACAAAAGCATTCACAGGTAAGTAACCCATTTCTGAAGGGGCAGGTGTTCCCAGCTTCGTTTGTCCATTTGTTAAGTCGTGTCTGTATTATGTACAGTGCAATTAACAATTTGCTATTAACGTTTACAATGCAGTTGTGCGGAATGCTGCATTTATCGGTTAATTACAGACGGTTTCTAAGGGTAGAACTATCTTGCATCAATACATAGCCTTGCATGGGTGGCTTATAGAAAACAGTCAGATAAATGCGTTTTGTTAGAAATTTATGAAAATGGTGTCTTAATCCCTTTTATAAAGAAGAGTTCACATGGATCATTTGGCGAAAAATCAGGAGCGTTTCCCTCTGAAGCACTAAGAAACTCGAAAAAGTGCAGTCTTTTTGTCTATTGCGCTCTCAACTGTAGCTTGGTAGTATATACATCTAAGAACTATTAGAGTTAGTGTTGTATTTAAGTAAACCCTGAGACAATTACTCTTAAGCTTGCCTAGTCATTGTGTCAGTTACGGTTAGTCTTTGTAACTACAAGTGTAAAATTGTTAGAAAAGAATCAATACACCAGTTATAATACATTTTTTTGCATTTGATATGCAAAGAAAAGAGACTACACAGATTGTCCTTGTATTCTCTTTCAGTTAAACCTGAAAATGTATGCTGTAGGCTTTAAGGAAACCTACAGCCTAATGATCTTAGAACAATACATATATCAGATTAAAGCTTCTAAATCGGAGATGCAGACTCTAGCTCCATTGCTCTGCTCCTGGAAAGTAAGGAAATTCTAAATGAAGACCTAAGATTTGCACTGTAAATGCCAGGCAATAACCAGTAGCATCTCTGGAAAGGAGCTTTCCAGGGCTGATACAGTACATTGCTTCAGGAATGTCCTCACAACACTATGGCCACATTTAATTGGACTGCTCAGAACCTAAGCCCAATGACCGTCATTGTGAAATTTCTTCTTCTAATGCACACCCTGAAGGTTAGAAAGATAAGATGATTATACATGTATTTTCCAGCCATCTGCAAATGTCTGAGGAACAATGTTTTTAAATTTGATGCAGAAAGGATACAGTGCTTTTCTCTGTAGTCCTGAGCAAAAATAATAAATAAATGAAGCATTGACTTGCAAATTCATTTGAGCAGAACCATGTTGATTTTTATTTTATTTTTTTAAGTACCCAACATTGGGGGGATAAAAAACAGACTGTCTTGATGCTTGAGTGGATAATACCATCAGATGTTTCATTTACAGTTTCGGCTTTTGAGAAGGCCATTCCGTTCTGAGTGAGCACATGCTCACCCAGCTTTGCTTTTGCATTTAGCTCGGCTAATGATTTAATAGTCTAAAAATTTTTTAACACCCCAGAAATTGTTTGGACAGCATCTGTAAAACAAAACTTATGGTGCTTTTGTGTAAAATATAGAAGTGTTTATTTTCATTAAAAGTATCAATATACCTGCATCGGATCAGAAGTACGATAGGCCAGTTCTTAACCATCCTTCATCAAATGAGGCCATTCAAACCGGTATAGAAAAAACTGTATTTGTAAAACGTGTCCATGTAGGTAACTCTCAAAATCAGATGCATTTTTAAATTCATTTTTAAACCTTTTAAGTTGCTCTACTAATGAATTTCTGGAGGTTTTATTGTCACTTAAATACTTGTTTACAGAACTGAAGCCCTCACTTATTGTAGAGTGGCTATCCATAATGGCCTTGCCATTCACAGGCCTGGGTGTTCATGCGTTTTCACTTATTTGCATTTTAATTACTTTTTTTGGGGTAAGAAGTGTAAACAAATGTAAGGTTAGCAACACTAACTGCATCATCTCATTATGGATTGAACAGAGTAGAACACAATGCTAGCATTTCACTAGAGCAATCAATGACAAGGTCAGAAAGCAATTTAAATTGCAGGCTACCCACATTGAGAACAGTGTGAAACAGGTTTCATGGGGAATATTTGGTCTAAAGAACACCTCTGCAGAAACAACAAATAGCAGTGGTTTATTTTTCTTATTAAGCACACCACAGGCTCCTGAAAAATTGCTGTTTAGCTTCAAGGGGGAGGAAGCGTGGAAATATCTGTTTACTGAAACATTCCAATCATATGCCATTATATCGGGGAGCGAGCACAACTACAGTAAGTGCTGGAACTCTCACAGAATCAATACTAATAACTGTTTCATGGTGCTCTTTTATTTAATGATCCTACCTTTAACACTGCTCATAGTGATTATTAAGCTTGCAGTCCTTTTGCTCAGCATGGTGTGTGGTGCAGTTGTTTTTTATAATTTACAGAATATGTTCCTTGATACCTACAGGAATGATGCACATCCAGATGTAGATATCATTTACAAGTCCCTCTCCTGAAGCTGCTGAATGCTAAATGCAGGATATTACCTTAAAGTGGTTATTCAAATGAGTTATGAGGGTCTCTAACCCTGCTTCTGGGGAGACCTACAGGTTTTAGATCTGGTGTTTTAGCCATTGATTTCTAGAGGCCTGGAACATTTTAATTCTGATTCGTTAAAAACAGGTGGTGTGTTAAATTAAGTTATGCCAATCGTTTGGGGAATAAATCAGAATATCCTTTATTCCTCCGGGAACCAATATTCCCTTCATTGACTCATTTGCTTAAACAAGTGTTCCTAAATATTGAATAGCAGATTTAAGGTGACATCTGAGACTAAGTGGCCTGAAGCCCTCTAGGACCAGGACTGGAGTGCTTCTGATTTTTTTACCTTTAGGAATAACTGGAATAGGGACCAAGGTTGGAGACTTTTAAACTCTTCTTGCCTTTAGTAACAGACGAGGCATTTGTGACCCTGGCTACCAGTGATGTTTACTGCCAGGGAGCGCTGGTCCTTGGACAGTCTCTCCGGCAGCACAGGACCTCCAGAATGACTGCAGTCCTGATCACACCACAGGTCTCCAGCAGCGCACGGTAAGAGGAGAATGAGTGTTCACTTTAGTATTGAACTGTTCTATTTTGGCCAGTGACAAAGCCAAGACAGAACTGCCTTAAAACAGCTCTCCACAATGAGGGCTAATGCTTTTACAGATATTCGCAGGCTGTATTTAATAATATTACGTTTGAGAAGTATTATTGTCGATGTGCTTAAAGCAGTTATTTACCTATCAATTGAATGGATGGATTGAATACAAGGATGCAAGAGTCTGCTAGATCCAGCTACTTCTCCCTCATCATTGAGAGCAATAGTAACCATCCTAGAACCTTTACTCCACCATCAACAAATTGCCTAAGCCAAGCTGCCCCACTGCATTACCTGCCTCATCCCAACTCAGCAACACATTCTTAGTTATTTAGTTCCAAAATCGATAACATCTGGCATCACATTCTCTCTGCAACACCTTACCTCCACATCTCCCTGCTTGCCTAGTTTTGTTAGTTCCCTTCTCTGACTTCTCCCTACGTACTAAGGTTCTGCATGCCTTAGTAAATTGGTATCGCATATGAAATCCTCCACCTGCCTGCTAGATCCCATTCCCATTGTCTTATTTCATTTTTTTTCTCTACTCTGCCCTCTTGTCCTCAATAAAATAAATGAATCCTTGAGTACTGGTGTGGTACCAAAAGCCTTCAAAAGTGCTGCAGTTACCCCAGTTCCTAAAAAAACAACCCAAATATGGCTCTGGACACCCTAAGCAATTTTTGCCCTGTATCTTAGCTACCCTTTCTTGCAAAAAAATTGGAACTTGCTGTTACAATTCAGATGAACAGCCATCTCATTGCAAAAAACCTATTTGAACCCTTCCAATCTGGTTTCCGACAACTAAGTAGCACATACACTGCCCTGGTTAGATTCACCAATAATATTCCTATGGCTTGTGATTCTGCCTCTTTCTATTCTTATTCTTCTTGACCTCAGTACTGCTTTTGACACTTTTAAGCGTGATATAGTGAAGCTTTAACTGGTCTTAAGCGGTTTTGTGACAGATTTTGTTTTTAATCCTTACACAGCATTTTAATTTTTTTTATTCAAAGTGATTTGCAGTTGTGAATGATGTTTGTCATAGTTCCATCTCCAGCCAGTTTATAACCTGGCCTCCTCTTCTGACATCCACATTTTAAAGATCTATTTCCATCCCCACTCTTTGGCACAGTATAGTGAAATAGTTTGTCTTCTGAGGTACATTGGTAGTCTGTAATCGAAAGATGCTTTTAATTGCCAAGGGTGGCAAACTCAATTATACTGTGCATGTGAAATAAATTCCATGGCAAAGACATTCACTATGTGCTGGTATGGAATGGTATGCCTTAACAGAGCCTTAAATTTCCATTTGTTTCTATATCTACATGTGTTCCGGTTTTTTGAATGTATAAAAAAGGGGTTCTGCAATTTGTAAAAATCAAAGTTGTGATTTCATGGGTTGTCCTGTTTCAAGAAGAAGTCACGGTGATGTTCTGGTGAATTTTGTTTTCATTGTAATTACCTAAATTGATGGATGAACAGAGTAGCTTTTTAGCAATTTCCTAACTGCTTTATCCAATAGAGGGTCATGAGTAAAAAGCTACCCTAATCTTATTGGAGAATCTTGAGCTTGCATGAAGTGTGGTAATAAAAAGCAAAAATTATATTCTATAGTAATTCAGTCTCGTGGTTTACTTGGCATGAATCGGGTGACTGGAGATAAAAGTTAATATTAGCAGGAAAGAAGCTCGCAGGAAATGTCTGGGATTGATTAGCTATTAGTGTTTGCTTGTAAGCTTTTGAATGTTCTCACATCACAATAATACAGAGCCTAAAATAGGCATCCAGGGAACCCGAGATAGGGGATGCTGTAAGTGTGCATTGCAAAAAACATCAACAAAAGGAAACAAAACGCAACCAGTCATGTGACATAGCTCAGTGTCTGGGGACCAAATGCGTTCCATTAGAAAATATGTACAAGACCAGACTGCATGGCCTCCTCTCCTGTCCCAGGGCTGCCCTTGCCCGAGTGTTTGACGAGGTGGTGGAGGTGAGCGGTTTGGACAGCGGAGACCTGGCACACCTGGCGATGCTGAGACGCCCAGAGCTGGGCATCACCTTCACCAAGCTGCAGTGCTGGACCCTCACTCAGTACGCCAAGTGTGTCTTTCTGGATGCCGACACACTAGTAAGTGCAGTCGTGGCCTTTTCCATGCCGTGTTCCTCTGTGGAAAGGCGTGCGGGGATGCAAGTCCATTATTCTTCTCGTGATGGATGCAGTACAGATTTTTCCTCACTACTTTATCCAGTTATTGATGGCGGGAGAACTGGAGTATAGCCTGGCAGGAAACGGGCGTAGGGCAGGATACATTCTGGACTGGCCTCCAGTCCACCACAGGGCAGGCACTCGCAACAGGACCAGTTTTCCCAGAAACCAGTTAAGCTGCAAGTAGGCCTTTGGATTGTAGGAGGAAACCCATATGGACGGGGGCCCAACGTAGAGACTCCATGCAGATAGAACCCCAGGAATTGGTGCCAGGGCTCCAGTTCTGTGAGGCAGCATTACGAACCACTGCACCTGGGTGTGCAGGTTTTTCAATCCATATAATGCCACAAGTGTTGCCTAGGCAGTCTAACTGCATAAACTTCTAGACATTCCATTTAAGAATTACCCCCCATTATAATTTCCCATTGACAAAACGCAGAACTACAATAGGTTGAGTAGTGGAAGACTTTGTTTGGTTTTAACATTTGGTGGTGGCAGTTGAGACCCCCCTTTATATTGACTTCAGTGCCAACAAAGGACACTCCTTGCTCAATGTAACCAAACAATGTTTCTTTTCATGTGGGAAGGTCTGTTTGCAGTTCGTTGCTGGACAAACAGGGTGATAGGTCAGCCCTCTCTGTACTTACAGGAAGCACATTGCCTGCACACAGTATTTGGAAAGGGTTTATCATGGTTAAACAGACAAGGGAGACCCCTGACGTTGGGGGTCTGCAGCAACTCTGGTAAATACAGCTTTCCACAAAACCACACTGAATAGCAATGATGTGGCCAAACAATCATTTTTCACTTAGATTTAAACCCAGTGAAAGTTTCATTTTTGTGAAATTAAAAATGAACTGAAGAGCAGGATTCACTGTTTTGCTTCCCTGTGTTGCGGCACTACATCTGTGTTGAAGAAGCCCGTTACCACTTCCCTGTTTCCAGGTTTTCTCAGTCTAAAAACCAGACTGAGCTTTTCACCTCCATCCTCGGTTGTGCTGTAGGTGTTATGCAACGTGGATGAGCTGTTCGACCGAGAGGAACTGTCAGCGGCCCCCGATCCCGGCTGGCCTGACTGCTTTAATTCGGGGGTGTTTGTGTTCAGGCCCTCCCTGGAAACCTATAACCAGCTGCTCCGGTTTGCAATGGAAAACGGCAGCTTTGATGGTAAGTCACAAGGAACTCGACACCCGGGGAACCTGAGGCTGGGAATGTGGCAACTTATAAACTGTTCTGCTTTGCTGTGATATGCAATCCTCAACTTGTAAAAATGCATATTCTACTACTCTGACTCACTGAAACCATACACAGTCTGTGCCATGTGGAATCATATTTACAGTATCTGAAAGGGTTTGTGGGAGGGTGGCAGTCTTTCAGTGGGGAGCCAGACAATTTCCTTTAAGTTTGCAAACCCCCAAGTGCTCTGGCAGCTGTAACCCACATAGATTAATGGATTTATTTAGCCTTATTACAGTAATAGAATAGGCTGTTACCACAATGATCCACACCAGGAGGTAAGCAGTTAGAAAATTGATGGATGGACATCCAGGTAGCTTAGTACTCGATTTCAGGTGCACTTAACAGTTACAAGGAAACGTATTTCTCTGACCAGTTTTCAGTGCACAAATGCTATAGTGAGTCCACAGAGGTTGAACACAACCTTGTGTACACAGTCCATGTCTCTGGCTCATTCCTCTAGCCCAAGTGTGGAAGAAAGACCTTCACCATCTACAGGAGGATGCATTTTCATAATCACACTTGCATATTTGTGGATCATTAATCTTATTCCCTCTGCCTTTCAGATTTATCTGTTAACCTAGGTTGGCCAAGGACTTGCTCACTGTTAAGAGATGTAGCTTAAACGCAATATAGGGACACCTTACACACTGGCTGCCCAGGAGGCAAGTGTAACAAACTGTATAAATGCGGACAACACTATTGTCTGAAATAAATGTCGGCAAAAATTAATCAAAAACCATGGAGATATTCCACTGCAGGTTGTAACAGCAATTCAGTTATTAGGAATCCTACAGTGCATGTGAAGATTTATCATCTCAGATAAGGAATTTATATCATTTTGGATTTTGTTGCAAATGTATAAATGTTCATTTTATCAGTATGCAATGTATTAAATCCGTGCCACCGGTCGTCTTTTATACATCTTTTTCTTGTTCTAGTCCAAGGCCAGTGGATTTGTGATGTGACCTGGGTGTAGGGATAAGGTTTTTAAACCAGTTTATGGCTCTAACTGGCTTTGGAAAATGTGTAGTAATAGATGTATTGAATATATAATGGCATATGGATGATGTGATCATTTGTGGAAAATCTTGTTTTCTTTTCCTTTGATAAAAATCCAGTTCTACAGTACGTGTTTATGCTTAAATTTTCTTTGCGTAACATCCTGGGTTCCTGTCAGAGCAATTGTACAGGTGCTTTTTATAAAAAAATATACCCCCTACCTGGATGAAAATGTATCCCCCTGATTTTGATTTGAACACCAAGTTACCTGTTTATTCACAGATTAAAAAGCATTATATTGTACAAGACACTATGTAAACTAATTTTTAAAAACAGACCTTTATTTGGTAAGTGTATTTTTCAGTGTTGTAAAATACACCACAATCACCTTTTGGTTTATATTTGATATCAAACTGCATTGCTTTACAGGTGAGTATTTTAAATACTCTGATGCATTGTGCCAATGCTCCATGTTCAACCCCACAGGATTGTTTTTGAGGGATTTTCCTGCTGAGCACTGCTCTTTGAGTGCTTCCTAGCACCGTATTGAGCAGCTGAGCCATTGGGCTTTTGGAAAGGGCTGACTGCAGAGAGTACTTAGAATTGGTTATTCTAAGAAAGTAGAAATTTGTATATAATATGAATAACCTTTATATTAAGAAATGATTCCAAAATGGCAAGGATTTAAAAGATTCAGATAAAGCATTATTTGAAGTTTTAATTGGTGATGCTTTTAGCTCCAAGATCTAATAAAGCTTCAAGCTCAGCATGAAGTGGCATTTTTTTAAACAATGCAGTATTGTAAGTTAAGTATAATGAAAAGGGCTTTTTTTTTACAAGCAAATGAAATGTCTTCACACAGCTTTGATTACACCACACAGCTCTGACAATGTGCAAGCTAAATTTAATCTTCACTGCTCTGTCTTGCAAGCTTGTGCATTCAGTTCTGGGGTGAACTACAGTGAATTGAATATAAAGGTCAAGAACCTTTTTTTTCCTCAATGTTGAGTGGCTAGGTTGAATATAGCATTGCAAATGCAAGTGGCCTATTCACATTACAGTAGTGACCTGATCTTTTGCAGATCTACCTTTTGTAAAGAATATACTGCAGATACACTTCTAATATAACGGTTTTTGTTCTGTTTCAATTATCTTCTCAAGGAGGTGACCAGGGAATCCTGAATTCCTTCTTCGGTGATTGGGCAGTAAAGGACATCCAAAAGCATTTGCCCTTTGTCTATAACCTCAGCTCAAGTGCCGTGTATTCATATCGGCCAGCCTTCAGGCAGTAAGTATTCTTCCCATCTGTAGTTGTGCTGGGTTTGCAGGGGGGAAAAAAAAACATTGGAATATTTGTAACATGTGCCACCAGTTTGAAATTATTTTAAATGGCAAATGCAGTGTTTGTGTATTTAAATCCAGTACAGCAGCTTTACTGCCCTTGGCATAGCCTGGTTTGGAAAAAGATGGCATCACTTTCAACTTCATCATGTGTGCAACATTGTAGGGCATTGAAATTACAAACATTGCAACTCTGGTTGTATATTGTTGCCTGGCCTTGGTGCCAGTTTTACCCAGGTGGCTGTCACCTGACCCATGTTGCCCTTTTACGGGTGTGCTCCGTTTAGGTACGGTCATAAAGCCAGAATAGTCCATTTCCTTGGTTCCGTCAAGCCATGGCACTACAAGTACAACCCACAGACCAGGAGTGCGTATCAGGAGCCAGGTTTCCCAGTGGGGAGTCACCCGGAGCACTTCGTGAACTTGTGGTGGGAAGTCTACAGCTCGGGAGTTGTCCCTTTAGTGATGCAGCACAGTGAAAGGCGGGAGTCCGAGCAACAGCACTGTAAGGTGGGATGCGCCGCACATTAAATACTTCTAGTAAGTTACTTGTTATGAGATGGGATACCTAGGGGAAGCTATTTCAAGCACTTGTGGCTTTTCGGCTAGAGTTACTGTATGTGGTTACCTAATTTATTTCAGGTACTCATTACATTTCCTACTGTATGTAAATATTGAATGCTGTTCTGTTTTTGGTCTTGTCAGCACAGCTGTTGTCTGTATGTTTGTTGTTTTTAGTGTGCATCTTTGAGAAATTCACCAATTTGCAATTTCTCATTTTTGTTTGTGTAGTACCAAGTAGGAAGTATTGAAATCAATGTGAGGGAGGAGGAACCAGCTGTACCTTCACACATAGAATATTACCCACCAGAACTAGAAAATTTGATTCCACCTCAAACCTCATCAGATAAGTGGGTGAGTATGTTCTGTGCATATCAGGAGGGATTATTTCCAGAGTTTAATGGGTTAATGGCTGCTGCTCTGTCAGTGCATTCGCATCTATAACTGGATTATGCTTTAGTTTTGCACAGCATTGTAAAACAGTTGTTTTTTAAGCGGATGCTACAAAAGAAACATTTTAATCTTTATGAAATATTCACCAATGATTAAAAATGCTTTGATTGCAGAGGAAGAATAAACTGAATCTAGTTAGAAGATGGTTTGAGATTTAGATTAGAAGGACGTCTGAGTGTGGATTGAAGGAGCAGTGCAGCTGTTACTGTATATGGTCATCCCAGCCTGCAGGGCTAATTCTCGACATCCCCCACCCCACTGTAATCCACTTAGTGTCGTGCACTTGTCAGGTCAGCATGATTCATTTTGCATGCAAATGCCGTTGGAAAAATTACTGGACGATGGCTGAATCTTATCATAAATCGAAATTTAACTTAATGTTCATTTTTTTTCTTAACCTCGCAAACATAAAAGAAACCCACTGAGATATAGTGAGGACCTTGGTTCTGAGAAGCTCAAGATTGCATGAGCCTGTTCTCCAATACCTATTTTTATCCGCGAAGCTCTGCGATATTGAATAGTCAGATTTATGTACTGGCACAATAAAGTGCTGCTGTCACAGTGGATCCTTCAGAAAGTGCTTGTGATAAAAGGCTGTATGTGACTTATAGCAGCTCTGGCTGGTCTTGCTGCAAGAAAGCACAATTAAATGCAAAGGATTTTGCTTCTGAAAAGATTAGATTACAATCACTTATTTAAATAAGAAATATTACAATGCAATGCACTTCTGCAGAAGTGCAACCCAATAACTAATCATACACTGAAGAATGTACTTCCACAGCAATATCTTTTGTAGCTTTTAACGAGCTATTGGCATCTATTTCTTGATCCCTTAATCTTCTCACTTCCTGTTTTTTTCTAAATGGTGTATTTGTGTGGGGGGCAGTTCACTTGCAGTTTTTTTTTTACTGTGCCATGGTGCTCCATTGTTCGAACTGGTAAGTTATGCTTTGAAACATGAACACATTGTCAAAATGCGGATTATGTGACGGCAAGATACTGTAGGTTTTCCCTAATATGAGGGATTTGTACTCAATTTGAGATATAAATCTGTTTTCTAGTTTGTGTTTGGGAGCCTGAAATTTTCAGTATTTTAAGAATTGTTCCGTTTTATTGAACCACTTTCTTTGTGAAATATACTGCAAACAGGACCCTGACCATGTCTCTGTTTGCATTTGCCATTTTAATGGCAGAAGGCCTCCTGTAAGGCTTGTCTAGTTAATTGTGTATGAATATAAAAACGTCTTCCAAGCAGGTCCCATTAGATGCCTGTAGATCTGCAGTATCAGAAGCAAAGGTATTTCAGTGTTTGTGGGTGGGGCGACAATGATATCAAACTACTAAATAGGGCTCGCATGTCATTGGATTGACGTAGTATAGAAGATGAAGAAAAATTACACCCTCATATACTCAGTGTGGCACATTTCCCAAAAGTATCTGAGACGCCTATGATGAAATTTTCACACCAAAATCAAATATGTTGAGGATGGGTTATATTTTTTAAATAGTGAACTATGAATGGTTCAACTGTTAAGGTTGCATAAATTGTAAATTGTTTTGAGTGAAAACTGCATTTAGAATATCCTATTGCATCCTCCTACCTTTCACCGTGAAACTATAGCTTCTGTTGGTAGGTAAGAAACGAATCTTTTCTGGGAGAAAAAAAGATTAAGAAACGTCCCGTTGTATTTCCATGTGTGCACACATGAGCTTTATGCATGATCTCCGGAGAATTAAAGATTTCTTGTTTGATTCAACAGCAGGTGCACATAGAGGATTCTGGGAGTTGCAATGGCAGTCTTCCACAGCCTGAGCTTGCTTCTCTTCCACAGCCCAGTGCACCTGAAGTGGAACAGGTAAGCTTGAGCATTTTAAGGCGAACAGGGCTTTGAAATGAAAGAATAGGAAGTGGTCCTAAAAAGTAACCTCGATTCGGCCGTCTTGTTTCGTATGCTCCGTCATTCATGTGCCTTTATCTGTAAGAATTTGGCAGTATTTATTAATGGCTTAAACTTTCTAAAAAATATTTTCTGAGACCCAATTTAAGAGTGTGTATATTCTATAGAATATTTCTCCTTGGGGAATTTGCTGTCCTTTGTATTTTCACATACTGCTATACAACAGGGTACACTGAAAAGCTGGTTTAAAAGTCTCACTGTATGGTTTGCATGGTTATCCTTGACCGTGCTTGTGGTTGAAAGAGTGATTGTGATTTAGCAGTGGGAAACCCCTGAGGACCTTCCAAGAGAAGAAGTCACTGTTGTAGAGCCCGAGATCCAGGCACCTGTGCCTCAGCATAGTCCTTCTGAAACGCCTGCTGAGGATCTGGTAGGTCATGACCGTCGAAATAGCATTGAGCATGTAACTGTGCAGAGGCTCGCTAAAGGTACAGTATAAGTCAGCCATTCTGAGTTTAGATTAGATTAAACCAGACAGCAGCCACTTTGGTAAAGCTCATGCCTTGCTTGCTTTTAAAGAAGCAGTTGGTGAATCTTGGATCGTATACACCGTAGCTGCAAATACGGGCCTGGTCTTGTGCGTAATCTTACATTTTTTACCTGACATGACTCCACTGTTCACAATGTGCCATTCCTCTTAAAGGAACATTCTTCATTAAATTAGTGTGGAAATTAGAATAATTTACTGTTCTCATAAGCTGCTTAAAACTATGTAATCCAATTGCTTATACAGCATCTCATGATGGATTTTTACCATATTTTAAACCTTCTTTTCTGTTTAAGGTTTATGGCAGGAAGAATCTTTTGTGAACACTTGTTCGTATTTCTTACTGTTTGATGGTTTAACACTTCATTTCAGTTTCACATGCATTACAAATTATATCTGTTCACGTCCTCCAATGTTCCTTTGAATAAACCCTCTAAAACCAGCAACTCTAGAAAAGTTCCTGTGCTGCTGTTTGTTTGGTTTGTCCGCTTATAATAGAATATTAAAAATGTCACCGCCTCCAGACCCTTGTAGTGATGTATACAACATGGTATTGCACCAGCTGAACAGAAAGTTTTCTTTGTGAGGGTGGATAGGCTCTTTTAACTTATTAGACTTGGGATCGTCATGTTTTAGTCTCGTAACAGGTGCTGCGCTAACCTCTTCCCTGCTTTGTTTTTTCAGCACTTCTGTAATTCGAGCAGCCACGATGCCCCTGACCTTCATCTTCTGAATGATCAGGCAAATAACCTTTTTTTTTTAGATCTAGTAGATGTTTATACTGCATCACTTTCCCCGTTTGACACTTCTTTGCTAAATAGCAGATTAACTCCTCTTCAGTACGTTTCTGTGCATTTCATCCCGTTATTCACTAGTTCAATGAGCAGGATTTTTCCCTTTTTAGTCTCATTGTTGCATTACTGCCTTAGTTGTTTTTAAACAGCCTTGGCTGCCAGGTGCTGTACAGTATGTTCTTCTCTTCTATTTGGGTGTGCGTGCAACGAATTACATCTGAATTTGCCAAAACAGTGCTCAAGAGATGTGTTATTGGGACTCTTTTCTGACAGAACAGATGAATTACCCTCACCTCACCTGTTCCATCCCCTTTTTAAAAAAGATCTAAAAGGAGTGTGATGTTTTGCCCATCGAGTAGAAGTTGTCAGAAGTGTACTGTATATGAATGAACTTTGCCCTTGACCTTTGGGTATCTGTGAAATTTTTAATTCTCATTTCAATTGAGTTTTAAACATTTTTGTTCCACATCTTCCAGTATTGGTGAAAAAAACATACTGTACTGTGAGATTTAGCAAAGTTCAGTTGATATACAAAAAGTTTCTATCTTAAATGTCCAGGCATCTCTAGTTTGAATTTGGGCTGTCTCATAGTGGTTCATCGTATTGAGAATAGTTAGCCATTGGTTCAATGTTATTGAGGGGAATTGGTGGGTTTAGAAGTTGGCAATGTCTTTTTTTTTTCTTCAGCTTTATTGTGGGTTGCAAATTACGGTCTCGGGTAAATGCCAAAGCCATTACAGATTGCCCTTGCCAGTGAGAATTTAATTTAATTTTATTTTATGTTACTTTGTCTTGAAGGGGCACAAATTTCTAATAGGTTTTGGTTGCCTTGGGAATCTTTATAGTTTGACACACATTTGAACCAAGAGATCATTTTTTGCGGGCTTTTTGATGAGCATTTCTGCTCAGTCTAGTTAGCATTTTCAACAAATGAATGCCATGCATTTAGGAAAGGGGTGTATGGAGGACTCTTCAATCTTGTTTTTTTTAAACCACGGAACGTCCATTTTTAATATTGCCAGAAGTGGTTTTGGTTTCCCAGCTAAAACTTTAACCTATGATTATGAAACAAGGAGAGCTTCTTTAGAGATAACAGCAGATGCTTAGGTTTTTGTCTCCTTAGTCTCCAGAGCAGAGTTTGCCAGTAATCCTGATTACTAATCCCAGAACCCCTTTAACTTGCATCTCACTCCAGCCATTTCACAGCTCTGGCTGGAGTAGATTATTTGTGTGGCTGTAGATTTATTTTTGCCACCAGTTAAATGAAATTAAAACAAATATTCTTCATAATAAACAGAATGGAGATGTGTGTAGTGTAAAATAAATTGTGGGACAAAGTTCTAGACATAGTTCACCTGAAAAATGTTAAACATTTGATGCGTGTCAAAAAGATCAAGCATTAATACTACTGTCACTTTTACTTTGAAGATAATTTATCTTTTTTCAGCATGGAAGCCTGAATGTAAAAGTATTGATCAATTTTCGGTTATTTGTGGCAGATAATAAAACTTTAAGCTAATCATTTTCTTTACAAAGAGAAAGATGTTGCTCAAATTTTGAATACTTCATAACTTGCATGAACTGGAGTAATTTTTCCTTTCTGTAGAAGATGACTGTGCTCTGGGTCTCGTACATCATTGTGGTTTGCTTAATGACTTGCATATGGGTACTGTTCCTGTAATTGCAGTTGTAGCCCATATTCATCCGCTCTCATAATGAGGAGTTTTTAGACTAGCTGTTAAAGGAATGTACGTAATGAAACCATAATTAACAAAACTGAGAATTAATCTGAGATTTTGAATTGCAGAAATGCACTCATTCTTACCTATGATCAGTTCTTTTTAAAAACACTTACAGTAACCAAGTTAATATTAAAATGAATGTTTATTTATATAGAATCGTTTTTTTAATGTTAGCCATAAACTTGTTTATTTTTCTAGAAATAAGTTTAGTAACATTTCAGTTACATTTAAAAGGAACAATAGTAATATCAGTGTAGTGTTGCAGGCTACTTCTAAACTGGTGTAATGTTGCCATCTACAGGGAACAAAAATCTTATTGAATCAATATATTGTTGTAGTTGATGATCATGAAAATTAGCTGAATGAGGGCCTTCGTATATGCTGTCTTTTGACTAGTGTCTTGTGTTTTTCCATTATAAATTGAAAATTATGTGCTGTCCTCATTCATGTTACACTTAAGCTTTAGATTTGTTCATATGTACTGTTATGATTTTGATTCTTGAACACTATACACCTACACGAGTTTCTTGTAGTTTAAATGGATAGTTATTTCCTATTGGGTGGCTAAGCAGGATGCAGTGACAGTTCCTTCTAAATTATTCTAATTCATTGTAATTTTGACCTGATCTGAAGGACTAGTATGATCCATATTGTAATTGAGAAAAATAAATCAGGAGGTGCTTTGCAGAAATAGCACTGCAGGTTTTTCATATCTTTCACATCTTGAGCCATTCTTTGTCAGTTTTGGATCCTTATTGTTCATCTGGATTCTCCCTGGGAGTCATCCTTTTCAAAGCTGCAAGTTCTCTAATCTTTGTCCTCCTATCCCAGGTGGATCTGATGGCTACTGTGTCAGAGCTGTCCATCGACATCAAACCTGAGCTCCCCGTTGACACCAAACCCGAGCTCTCGGACTCGGATCACCGAAGGATGTGGGAAGAAGGGCGCATGGACTACATGGGAGAAGATGCTTTTGAGAACATCCAGAAGAAACTGGATAGGTTTCTTGAATAACAGTTTGAATAATGAACCTCTGCAACAAAAGTAATTGCCATTTCCCTAATAAACATTTGTGGGAAGGGAAATGACTAATGTGCATTAGGTCATAATAGTGAAGCAAAAAACCGAAGTACATTTAATTAAGGAAAAGGTGCATTATAAAGTTATGAAAGTAATGGCAGACTGCATAGTAAACTGGAAAGCTTGTGGAAGATGTTGGAGCTGTACACTCGAAAGAGCGCAGCTCATATGGTGTACATGCTTATTCTTGAGTGGTTTGTGCAATGTGCACACATTGTCGGATGTCGGAGACTTATTTTCCCCATAAGTGTTCTGTCGTGTATTTGTTAATCCTCTGACAGAGGTTTTCATAATTGCTGAATGACAGTGGAAAATATTGTTTGGATAATTAGACAAAACTTGTTATCTAAAGTGTGGTGAAATGTCTTCCTGTTCCCTGAAGGAATGTGGTTACACCGGTTGTACCTACCTTTATTTGCCAGTGTTATACTTGCATAGTAGTGCCACTGCTGCCTTAACTTTTTTCCCCACTGACCTGTTTATGTACATCTTTGGTATCACTTTTCAACTGAGGAATCCTTCAAAATGCAAATCATTTCCACGTTGTTTATAACGTGCAATGCTTGTTGCGTTCTCGGATCCTAATCACACAAACAAAATCGGTGCTACATAAAGAAAATGTAAAACCTTGCCGAAGCCTTTTTCTTTTTAAACAAATTGGATAAAATGTTCATGCCGATTTGTATTCTAAATGAGTAATATTAGTTTCATTCGGGGGGGATAAAATCAGAAGGGGAGGCAATTTCATTTGTTTTCCCCCTTTAAATAGTGTACAGTACTTCAAACTTTGAAACGGCTGAGCATCACTACTGAAGGCTATCCTTGCCTTACATTAATGTGCCTATGGAGTAGGGAGTTTGCAGTAGAATTCTGTGCTTTACATGGAGAATGTTGTATAAATCATTTATATATTCTTGTATAGCAAACATCAGTCTGTTTGATACAGAATGTTATTAGAATACAGAATGTTTTCCCATTGAAATAAGGGAGTTTCAAATAAATGATGTGTTCATTATAGTAAGCCAAATCATGTTAATGATCAATTGTGCAGTCTAGGAAGTAAGTCATTTTATGGATCATAACCTTTTGAAGTGTGCATTTTGTTTTTGGATCTTGCTGTAGAAGATCAAAGATGGATGAATTTGCACACTGTTTTTCATAATAAACTATGACAGCATTAAACATCACCTTGTTTGCTTATTTAATTGAAATATGTAAGTTTAAACAAACCTGTAGCTTACCTTCACTGTGTGAACTTTGCTTAATGCTAGAGTCTCCTGTTTTACAGAACAAAACATTTCTCTTCAGATGTCAAATGGTCTCAACTTGACTTGACCACCTTGCTGCATCTCTGCGGGCTTGTTTCCACAATCACTAGCCATTTTTGAGTTTTATGCAAGATGCCCTCTCGTTAGCAACCCAGATATAGAAATATATTTGAAAATAAGGATGGTTATTTCTTGTAATAAAAATTGATAATTCCAATACATCCAATATTGTTCATTGTATGATATACTATTATACCGTCACAGCGAAGTTATTCAGTATTTGCATTGTGTGACTAGAAACTCAGTTGCCGCTGTTACAGGCTGCCGAATAAGGTGCAACAGACGGCATCAGCACTACAGGTAGATGTGATTATTTGGGGAGGCTTGACATCGGTGCTCTGTGGTAGGAAGAGACCAAGGTGACAGTACAGATTTTCAAGCTGCTGCCCTGCAGTGTTTGCAGATCATCCCATCCCTGAGGAAGCCTCAGGACACCTGGACTCAGGGTTCTGACACCAGGATTGCTGGCTTTAGGAAGCCTGCTGTTGTCAACTGTGTCTTCCCTCTCAGCTTGTGGAATCTACAGTAGGCAAGGTGAGAAAGATAGAAGTTCACTCTCGGATATCACTGAAGTTGTAGGGCTGGTGGCTGTTTTGACCATTGGGTCTCCGAGTTCTGTCTTGTGCACACTATGAGCATTTACTGTTTGTTTTAGCCCTGACTCTTGATCACTCCCAAAGGCATGAGACTGTGCTTCTCTTAATCACAAACAAAATTTCCAGTTTAGTGAACAATTCACTCTACAGCAAGGGTGCCCAATCCTTATCCTGGAGGTCCAAGGACCTGCAGGCTTTTGTTACTGTTGATTCATTGGCCCCTCAATGATTGCAAGCAGTCCAGCCCCACACCATTATACTCCCTCCACCATGCTTTACAGGTGGGATGGGGTTTTGGTGTTGGTATGTGGTGTTTTGTTTTCTTCTAACATAATGCTGTGTACATTTACCAAAAAGTTCAACTTTTATCTCATCTGTCCACAGAACATTGTTCCCGTAGTGCTGTGCAACATCCAGGTGGTCTTTAGCAAATTTGAGACGGGCAGCAATGTTATTTTGGTAACCTCCCATGAACACCACTCTTATTCAGTGTTTCTTATGGTAGACTCATGAACACAGACATTATCAAGTGCAAAAGATGCCGGCAGATCCTTAGCTGTCACCCAAGGGTTCTTTGTCACCTGTTTGAGGATTGTACGGTGCGCCCTTGCACTGATCTTTGTAGGATGTCCACTCCTAGGGAGAGTAGCAACAGTGCTGACTTTCTTCCATTTGTAAACTATTTGCCTGACTGTGAACTGATGGAGGCCCGAGTCTTTAGAAATCCTTTTGTAATCCTTTCCAGTCTTATGAGCTTTAATAACTCTTGCGAGGTCCTCTGAATTCTTTTGATCAGGCCATATTGCACTTCAACAGAATTCTGTTATGAAGAACAGGTAACCAAAATTTTTATTTTTTTTATATGGCAGGGCAGGTCCCTAGGGCAGAAACCCAGGATAAAAGACAGACGACCCATGGAGAGAGGACACAAAGCGTGTGCCAGGTGGGAGGATCTTGTTTGAATCAGCCTCAAAGGCTAGATTCTAGCTACGTATGTGAACCTTCATTAAGAGAGCTTGCTGCTCTGTTGTGTTAAGAAACTCTGGTTTGCTTTATAAAAAGTCCCTAGGTTAAAAATGTTCTCTCCTAGTTATTGAATGCATTTTTCAGAATATGGATATAGGGTCTCATTCACTTTAGAGCATCTGGCTGGATTTATAGGAAGAGTGGTTTAGCTCCGAGTTATATTCCGTTTTATTTAGGATGCAGCTTTATCTCTTGTTGGCCTGATAGGTGTTATAGTGGCTTTCTTAGTACCTGGTTAGCAATCTGGGTTTTTGTTTGGTTAGAACATAGGCGTCTGAGTTGCCTTGGTGGTAAAAAACTTGTATGGATCATATGGTTTTGGAGAGTTACCTGAACCTCCAGTCAATCATGTACATATTCTGGGAGAGTAGCCTAAACCTTAGACCCTGTTGTAAGCTTTCGTCCACAAGACCCAAACCACGTGTCCCCGGGTTCCGAAATGCCAAGAGCAGGTATAAAGCAGGTCTTCTACAGGTAATCTAGTGATAATCACCACACCAACCCTTATAAGACCATGTTCTCTGAAAACGTGGCCAGTTTAATGTGATAATTAACCCAGTGCTTAACAACCCGAATTCAAGAAAGTGGTGAGGTTGATCTGCATGAATTAAAATCAGGACTGTTTCGGTTTATTGAAATAGGTGAATTGTTAGAAATAACATTTATACAAACAAAGGCTCATGGACAGAGATGGATGAAAATAAAGAATTAGAAAAGTGCAAGTTACTAAGATATAGAACAGTGTTAATAAACTTGAATCCTATGCAACCTATTCACCTTGAGGCGTGCAAATGAGAGAGCTTGGTATGTTCCTATTTTTTAAATTCTGAATAGCAGGGAAGTAGGCATCACCTGATCCGTGGAGATTTGTTAGGCGAGTGGTGCTGTGACCCAGCTCAGGAGCTGATCCAGTGTTGCTGTGGAGCCAAGTAGATGGGCTGCTGGGTTGAGAGACTTTGCTTCCCTAGTCCAGTTGAGCTTTTTGCTACTTCTCTTCCTTGGTATGCTGGCTTCCTTGGGTCTTAACGTCCTGCCCTCTTGAGCCTAACTTCCCGGATTCACTTCCCGGTCCTAACATCTGCTCCTTCCGGGCCTCACATCTATTCCTTCCAGGCCTATCTTTCTTGGGCCTTATTTCCCCAGTTCTATCTTTCGAGGTGTGGTTATTGGCTTGGCCTATTTATTAGCCTCAGACAAGGACATTCCTTGTCTTGTCTGCCAGGGTTCTGGTTGGCCAATTCAAATCTGTGATTTGCATATCTCTCCTTCAGGAATTTTTATTACTTCAATTAGGAGATATTGGTAAAAACGTCCAGTATTTAAGAAAATTCATAACTTCTTTTGTGTTACATACTGTATAAGTTTCATAATTAGAATTCAGAACTGTTCATGTTTTGCCCATTCTTTAGATACCAAACAAGCATAGCCCACTTCATCCTGAAATAATTATGATGTCTTATATTGTATTTTCATTTAATATTTTGGATTTACACTTTTGTAAGGGAATGAAGTAAGTAATGTGGCAATACAGCCAGTACTTCATATGATCTTTTATCAATGTGGAATAAAGGCTGCTATTTTATCACGTCAAAATGCTGATTTTCTAAACCAGCAATAGGAGGGGGGTTGTATTCCATTTTACCACTAGAGAGGTGACTCGGTGTTCCTATCTGGGACACTCAATTGATGTGGATGGATCACAATAATCTGTTTTCTAAATCCTTTCAATAATTCTCGTTGCAATCAGAATTCTGTTTCATCCGTTTTGATATAAATTGCTCTTAAATTTAAGACCTAATGTGATATCTATGTGCATTTGCTCAGACATCCCTTGTTTCTTGAGGTTTAATGCAGTTGCTTATGTCTCTTTTTGATATAACCATGTGATTTCTTCATTTCTTCATGTCTTCATGTCAGCCATATCACTCTGCAACTCACTACTGGCAACCAACTGAAGCTAAGCAAGTGTGAGCCTGGTCACTACCTGGATAGGAGACCTCCTGGGAAAAACTAAGGTTGCTGTTGGAAGAGGTGTTAGTGGGGCCAGCAGGGGGTGCTCACCCTGCGGTCCATGTGGGTCCTAATCCCCCGGTATAGTGACGGGGACACTATACTGTAAACAGGTGCTGTCCTTCGGATGAGATGTAAAACCAAGTTCCTGTGGTTATTAAAAAGCCCAGGGTGTTTCTCGAAAAGAGTAGGGGTGTAACCCCGATATCCTGGCCAAATTTCCCATTGGCCCTTACCACTCATGGCCTCGTAATAATCCCCATCATTACTCTGCTATAATCCCCATCCATGAATTGGCTTCATTACTCTGCTCTCCTCCCCACTGATAGCTGATGTGTAGTGAGTGTTCTGGTGCACTATGACTGCCATGGCATCATCCAGGTGGATGCTGCACATTGGTGGTGTTGGAGGGGAGTTCCCATTACCTGTCAAGTGCTTTGAGTGGTGTGTCCAGAAAAGTGCTATATAAGTTATTATTATTATTTAATATCAGTAGAATGGCAAAACATTGTGGTACAGTACATAGGATATATATAGTATGGATAATTTCAAGGTTCTGTCTGAGTCCAAGGTCGTACTCCCTATTTACTCACGACTGCACAGCAAGACACAGCAACAACCGCATCATTAAGTTTGCCGATGACACCACTATAATAGGACTGATCAGTGATGATGACGAGTCCACTTACAGGGATGAAGTTGTACAGCTGCTTAGGTGGTGTCATAGCAATA